TCTTACAGTGTACTGTAAGAAACAGTGTAACTCATCAACAATCGCAGGTACAAGCTACTAACAAAGTGTCTCATAAATGAAAAATACCAGTATTCAATTATTATTATTATTATTACTATTAAACAATTGCAAATAGCAGCTAACTTAATTCCTGTAACGTGTGTACTGCTAGGCATCTTTGGTTTCCTCTTTTTGTGTAATTTAAATGGTAAATTGTGCCTTTTTATCGTTTGAGTCACTTATCAAAAGTTGCTAAAAGCTGCCAAATAAATTGAAAAAAATAGCTACATTTGTTGCTAGGTGCTTTTGGAAGAAAAAGTTGCTAGTGTAGTCTGAAAAGTTGCTAAATTTAGCAACAAAATTGCTAAATTGGCAACACTGGCACTGCGCTCACAAACGCTGCTTTATCAGGCATCACAGGCAGATGAAATGAAAATGAGACCAATCGGACCAATCACCGCAGATTAGCGTCACGCAAAGGAGGGGTTTGGAAAAATGAATCGTTAAACGAATCGTTTGGGAGTCGTTAAGCAAATAAGGTTAAAATAAATGCATATTATAAGACAATGAAAGTGTTTTTTTGTTTGTTTTTTTTTACCTTGCATGCATGTCAACCTGTTGTTGGGGACTCCCAAAACCAAAATATGAACCTTTCATAACCCATAATAAGGGCACTTTAACTTGCTCAAAACCATATTTCAGCATTTTCACTTTCCTCATCAAGTCCTATGGAAACTACAATACTTGATTTGGTTCACATTTGCCCTACTTAATTTAATCTAGTAGACTGCACATTTTAGAGAATTACATTAATTAAAAGCAAAGAAATTACAAGAGAAGCACAATTTTGTTGCGTAGATGATAAATTATATGACTGAATAAACTGGATCTGTGTTTTGCAGTTGTTTTCAGTGAAAGCAGGACCAACAGCTTGTCTTTATTAGCATTTTATCAGCACCAGACACACCAAACAACAAAAAAAGGATTACTTAGTTAATAAATATGAATGTGCAATAAGCCTGCTTTGTACAAATAAATAAATTATGTTACCAAAGAACATTTTATCTGTTTATAACCTTTTAATCGTCCTTTTCTTCTTCCTTCTCTGTAACATGGTTGCATGATGGCATATAAGCATTGCTTAGACATCATACCAGATCATGCACATAAAAAGATCTTTCCATTGTAAATAAATAAATATATCAAAACAATTTTTTTTTAAATGAATAAATTTAAAAATAAATAAACATGTAAGACGATGTTGAGTGAATGAAATTTCCACCCCATTGCTGATATTGCAGCAACTATTATTTATGTTTGTAACCAGCAGAGGGCTCTGGGGCCCCAAGTATTCGCCTAATGAATACTACCGCCACTTTATACAATACAGTACAGCCTAATACTCAATATTCTGTAAGAATATGTTGGGTTGAGCAGGAGCTAATGATTGACAGCAGATCACGTGATAGAGTTTCTCTCTCGTGTCATTCGGCGTGATGATGATGATGATGATGATGATGATGGTGATGATGATGATGTGGAGTCTGAGGCTCACACGCATGAATCAGAGATAGAAGTGATTGAGTTGTTTCCTGGAGGGATGTGTGATTCTGTCTTCACCTTTGCTCTGAACTTTTATTCTCGGTGGAAACGAAGTCAGTCCGGATGTTTAAAGACTCGTGGGAACTTCTTCTGCGTCTGGAATATTTCCTTAATTACAATAGAAGCATTGACTGAAGGTAGAACCCGCAGCGCTAAATGTGCGAAAAAAGCGGCAACCACTTTGGAAAAGACGTTCTTCAGACAGAGCAGACAACACACACAGATGCAAACTTTGATCACGTTGAAATCTCCGAATGCAGAGACACGAACACTGTATGTAACACTCGTTTATACCGGAGGCGATGGCTCATTTTGTGTCTCTTTAGCTCTTATTCGCTTTGCAACGCGTTCCAGTGGATCCAGTACGGAATCATCAACAACATCTTCATGAAATTCTACAACGGCTCTTCATTCGCCATCGACTGGCTGTCAATGATCTATATGCTGACTTACATCCCCTTCATATTTCCAGTGACATGGCTGTTGGAGAGGAAGGGGCTGCGGGTGATCGCTCTGCTCGCAGCCTCGATCAACTGCGTGGGAACGTGGATCAAAGTGGCCAGCGTTCAGCCCAACCTGTTCTGGGTCACGATGCTCGGACAGTTCGCCTGTTCCTTTGCGCAGGTGTTCATTTTGGGAATGCCGTCTCAGGTCGCGTCCGTGTGGTTCGGATCTGATGAAGTGTCCACCGCCTGCGCCATCGGCGTGTTTGGAAACCAGGTGCGTAAAAGCGCACGGAGCGCATCGC